TCAGCTCTTTCATTTCCATCGTCGCCTGTGTATTCCTGGACTTTGGTCTTACCCCAGAACCTGAGTTTTTGCGTGCACATTCATTTCACTATTCTGGCTTCTTTGTATGTAGCCGCTGGCTCTGTGTCTTTTAGGGTATCTGAAATATACCTACCAGATAAAGCCACTGTGACAAAACAGTCAGCAGATGTCGCTGGATCTGCACCACTGGGTGGTGAATTGATACATGACAAGGCAGATGTGGTCAAGGCCCTTTGGGAACAAGCGACGAAATCAGTAGAGAAACATTATAATAGCATGTAGAGAATGAGGCACCTGGGTGTAACCAGAGGGTTTGGCCGGTTCACTACACTCAGAGGAAACGCAAGACGGACATATAACCAGATTGTGACCGGCACCATCAGTATTGGAACTCGGCGCTGGCTGCTGAAGCCGAGGACTGAGCACGCATGGGATTGCTCTGAGTGCTGTGACACGAATTCTTGACTCAACTCAACTTAGCAAATGTCGCTCGGCACGCAGCGAGACACTCGGCATCACAGAAAACTTATGCACGAAGTGTGTGGAGAGGTGAGGTGGAGGAAGTGTATGGAGGGGCGAGGTGGAGGAAGTGTATGGAGGGGCGAGGTGGAGGAAGTGTATGGAGGGGCGAGGTGGAGGAAGTGTATGGAGGGGCGAGGTGGACTAAGTGTATGGAGGGGCGAGGTGGAGGAAGTGTATGGAGGGGCGAGGTGGAGGAAGTGTATGGAGGGGCGAGGTGGAGGAAGTGTATGGAGAGGCGAGGTGGAGGAAGTGTATGGAGGGGCGAGGTGGAGGAAGTGTATGGAGGGGCGAGGTGGAGGAAGTGTATGGAGGGGCGAGGTGGAGGAAGTGTATGGAGGGGCGAGGTGGAGGAAGTGTATGGAGGGGCGAGGTGGAGGAAGTGTATGGAGGGGCGAGGTGGAGGAAGTGTATGGAGGGGCGAGGTGGAGGAAGTGTATGGAGGGGCGAGGTGGAGGAAGTGTATGGAGGGGCGAGGTGGAGGAAGTGTATGGAGGGGCGAGGTGGAGGAAGTGTATGGAGGGGCGAGGTGGAGGAAGTGTATGGAGGGGCGAGGTGGAGGAAGTGTATGGAGAGGCGAGGTGGAGGAAGTGTATGGAGGGGCGAGGTGGAGGAAGTGTATGGAGGGGCGAGGTGGAGGAAGTGTATGGAGGGGCGAGGTGGAGGAAGTGTATGGAGGGGCGAGGTGGAGGAAGTGTATGGAGGGGCGAGGTGGAGGAAGTGTATGGAGGGGCGAGGTGGAGGAAGTGTATGGAGGGGCGAGGTGGAGGAAGTGTATGGAGGGGCGAGGTGGAGGAAGTGTATGGAGAGGCGAGGTGGAGGATGTGTATGGAGGGGCGAGGTGGAGGAAGTTTATGGAGGGGCGAGGTGGAGGAAGTGTATGGAGGGGCGAGGTGGAGGAAGTGTATGGAGAGGCGAGGTGGAGGAAGTGTATGGAGGGGCGAGGTGGAGGAAGTGTATGGAGGGGCGAGGTGGAGGAAGTGTATGGAGGGGCGAGGTGGAGGAAGTGTATGGAGGGGCGAGGTGGAGGAAGTGTATGGAGGGGCGAGGTGGAGGAAGTGTATGGAGGGGCGAGGTGGAGGAAGTGTATGGAGAGGCGAGGTGGAGGAAGTGTATGGAGGGGCGAGGTGGAGGACGTGTATGGAGGGGCGAGGTGGAGGAAGTGTATGGAGGGGCGAGGTGGAGGAAGTGTATGGAGGGGCGAGGTGGAGGAAGTGTATGGAGGGGCGAGGTGGAGGAAGTGTATGGAGGGGCGAGGTGGAGGAAGTGTATGGAGGGGCGAGGTGGAGGAAGTGTATGGAGGGGCGAGGTGGAGGAAGTGTATGGAGGGGCGAGGTGGAGGAAGTGTATGGAGGGGCGAGGTGGAGGAAGTGTATGGAGATGCGAGGTGGAGGAAGTGTATGGAGGGGCGAGGTGGAGGAAGTGTATGGAGGGGCGAGGTGGAGGAAGTGTATGGAGGGGCGAGGTGGAGGAAGTGTATGGAGGGGCGAGGTGGAGGAAGTGTATGGAGGGGCGAGGTGGAGGAAGTGTATGGAGGGGCGAGGTGGAGGAAGTGTATGGAGGGGCGAGGTGGAGGAAGTGTATGGAGGGGCGAGGTGGAGGAAGTGTATGGAGGGGCGAGGTGGAGGAAGTGTATGGAGGGGCGAGGTGGAGGAAGTGTATGGAGGGGCGAGGTGGAGGAAGTGTATGGAGGGGCGAGGTGGAGGAAGTGTATGGAGGGGCGAGGTGGAGGAAGTGTATGGAGGGGCGAGGTGGAGGAAGTGTATGGAGGGGCGAGGTGGAGGAAGTGTATGGAGGGGCGAGGTGGAGGAAGTGTATGGAGGGGCGAGGTGGAGGAAGTGTATGGAGGGGCGAGGTGGAGGAAGTGTATGGAGGGGCGAGGTGGAGGAAGGCAAAGGTCCCATTGTCTACCATATGTCTTTTCTATCACATGTATCCCCGTGTTGTTTCAGGGCCCCATTGTTGGGAAAAGAAGAACACCGAGTCCCTAACACGAGGGCACGAGATCTTTTCTAGAAATACATAATTTTACATTACTTAATGTTGTTAGCAATATGTCTAAATGCAGAATACTTTATTTTTTCGACTGCCATGGAAAACACCACCAGCATTTATCACTTTTTATGAAACCCCACATTGGTTCTTGCCAGGAGCTGCAATATAGCCCGACAATAAATCTAGCCTAATGGCTGAAAACGGTTTCTGGGACCTCTCCACATGTGATCCTCGTCCACATGGTGGCACTTGTGGCATCGGGTGTTTATCGCTTGTGTGATGTCCTGGTGGGGTAGAAATTCATCAGTCAACACCACCAGCCCGGCAACTTCAGAAGTCAGTAGAAGAAGTAGAGAGCTCAACAAAGAATTTGGGTTTAACACTAAAGCAAGCAATGCTCGCAACAACAGTATATTTTCTCACCAAAGAAAGAAAGAATATCCATAATGTAAGAAAATAAACAAGTACTTCCCACAAATTTCCAAGTTCCTTTGAGTTATTTCGACATCCGATACACACATCAGGGCCAAAAATAGAAGAAAAAATCAATGCAACTCTCATTCAAAGACTCACTGAAATTTAAAGGGAAAAAACTGTGTGGAACAGGATGGTAAGGCGCTTTAAAAACATTAAGACAGATGTACACTGGATCAGTAAGACTTGTAGAACCTGTCTTCAGCCCTTGTGATAAAGCATCGAGAACGAACCTGCGAAAACTAACTAATATTCAAAATAAAAGCTTAAGAATAACTCACAGAGCAAAGAGAAGCATCTCATTAAAGAGATCTTGACAACTGCTGACATGTAGTTCATTGGTCCTCGCAGACAGCACAGAACACTCCCTCTGAAACTCTCAAAAGGCTAACAAACTGTCAGCTGCACAATACATTTAAAGAGAAAAAAAAAATATACTGTTAAAAAGAAAACAAATTCAAGCCATCCAGCAAAAGGAACTTTGCTGAAGAGAGAGAGAGAGAGAGAGAGAGAGAGAGAGAGAGAGAGAGAGAGAGAGAGTGAGAGAGAGAGAGAGACAGACAGACAGACAAGGAGAGACAGAGAGAGAAACAAAAAGAGGGAAAATAAGAGAGGGACTAGACAGACACACACACACACACAGAAGAGGGAGAGAGAGACAAACTGAGTTTATTATGTCTGTGAATTTGAGACTCAACTGATGCAATTGAGAAAAAAACAAATAATTAAGTGTTTCGATGGCAGCCGCAGTGGTGTAGTGGCTAGACGATCTTTTGCAGATCGGAAGGTCGTCGGTTCGGGTCCTAGCGAAACCAAATTTTTTTTTCTTCAAAAAGACCTTCATCCCCAGTTCGACCCAGCCTTTAGTGGGTACAAGTTAAGGTCATGGAAAGTAAAGGCGGTCGGAGTGATGCTGACCACATTACCCACGAAGTGCTGATTGGTCTGTAACATATATTTCTAGCCCTATATGCTTAATAGGCCCGAAGGCGGGGGAAGAGGCCATTTTAACTGTTTCAGTAACCTTTTATTAAGATAACAGAACCATTTCTCACCATCTACACATAATTCCGCGAAGCCAGAACGGGAGGCTGGCGCCATTGTTTCCGATAATGTCACGGTGCCTGTGTTTCCTTCCACGCCCTGCTTGTCTGTGACTACAAAGAACATGGCAACGATTTTGCTAACGGCACGATGAACCACGTGACCTCAGGAGCTACATTACCTGCGAGCCAGTGTGTGGGAGCGTGTTGGGCAATTGATTATTTTCTTGATAGCGCTGCCATTCATAATGCCGCAAGTAGAACTAGTAATGCTGTGACGAATCTATGACGTTTTTATTCTTTTTCTTCTTTTTTTTTTAAATTTGGATTTATTCGTAGCATTCATTGGACTAACCCATTATTAAGGCCGATGTGGTATAGTTTGATTACAGACAGCATGTGGATGCAGTGTAGATCGGTTATCGGGTTCAGATGTTTTTACCGCCAGGTAATGTCACACATAACGGAATGATCAACAATGTGTTTCTCGTGATGTCGTTCAAGCGAAAGTTGGCGCGTGTGTGTGGAACTGTGAGCACTGATAATTACCTTCGTAACGGCCATATATATCTAATCCTAACGTTATGATCTTTATAACTAAGTCTTTAATGTATCATTTGATGCGTTACTTGATGAAGACGTTTGTCAAAACATTCTAAATGTAATCGTGTTTGTTTCGTCGATTCTCCCTTACACAGTTCAATAGTGCTGTCTCATTCACATTGTTTTTGTTAAACCCGCGTCTATGTTTTATTTTCCATTTCGATGTTATATTCTTTTCCTAACATGGCCGGTCCATTATAAACGGTAGCCAACTTCGCGGTGAACCACTGTGTTTCATACTGTGTCGATAAATGCAGTCTACAGGTGGGTTTCTACAGCTTTGGGTGGCAGACATCAATATCTCGACTTGTTATCTTCGTGCGCAACTGCGCTAGCTCAGTGCAACAAGTGAGTCGCTACATGTTCACTACTGTTTCCCCCTGACGGTAGCTCAGTGCAACAAGTGAGTCGCTACATGTTCACTATTGTTTCCCCCGATGGTAGCTCAGTGCAACAAGTGAGTCGCTACATGTTCACTATTGTTTCCCCCGACGGTAGCTCAGTGCAACAAGTGAGTCGCTACATGTTCACTATTGTTTCCCCCGATGGTAGCTCAGTGCAACAAGTGAGTCGCTACATGTTCACTATTGTTTCCCCCGACGGTAGCTCAGTGCAACAAGTGAGTCGCTACATGTTCACTATTGTTCACCCCGACGGTAGCTCGGTGCAACAAGTGAGTCGCTACAGGTTCACTATTGTTTACCCCAACGGTAGCTCAGTGCAACAAGTGAGTCGCTACATATTCACTCTTGTTTCCCCCTGACGGTAGCTCAGTGCCACAAGTGAGTCGCTACATGTTCACTATTGTTTCCCCCGATGGTAGCTCAGTGCAACAAGTGAGTCGCTACACGTTCACAATTGCTTCCCCCGACGGTAGCTCAGTGCAACAAGAGAGTCGCTACATGTTCACTATTGTTTCCCCCGATGGTAGCTCAGTGCCACAAGTGAGTCGCTACATGTTTACTCTTGTTTCTACCGACGGTAGTTCAGTGCCACAAGTGAGTCGCTACATGTTCACTATTGTTTCTACCGACGGTAGCTCAGTGCAAAAATGAGTCGCTACATGTTCAGTATAGTTTCCCCTGACGGTAGCTCGGTGCAACAAGTGAGTCGCTACAGGTTCACTATTGTTTACCCTGATGGTAGCTCAGTGCAACAAGTGAGTCGCTACATGTTCACTATTGTTTCTACCGACGGTATCTCGGTGCAACAAGTGAGTCGCTACAGGTTCACTATTGTTTACCCCGATGGTAGCTCAGTGCAACAAGTGGGTCGCTACATGTTCACTATTGTTTCTACCGATGGTAGCTCAGTGCAACCAAAGGGGCCGGTACATGTTCACTATTGTTTCTACCGACGGTAGCACAATGCAACAACTGGGTGGGTACTTGCTACTTTTATATTCAGTGGCCTTACCACGGTGCATCAAATGAGTGGATAATGATGACTGCGTGTTCAGAGGGCGTTACCTAACCGCAACAACTGGGTGAGTACATGGTCACGTTGTGTTCAGAGGGCGCTACCTAAGTGCAACTAGTGGGTGGGTCTCGGCTCAGCTCACCGCTTGTTCTTGTACACAGAAGTTGGTTATTTCCAAAACTGCAGTTAAAGGTCCTTTTAACAATAGGCCGCCTTCACAACAGAGGCTGTCTGCAAGGTTTTGGGATCCACTGCTGTCTTTTTTTTTTAGGGGGGGGGGGGGATATTACCTGGTGAAACACTCTCCTTCCACTGTTTCAAGTGGTTAAGGCTTTTGCATTGAGCATTGAAACCTGTTCGGTTGGCTTTTAACTCCGTCCTTATGTTTGCGAGGGAAGCTGTTTCGTACATCCCCCGAGATCGTCTCCGTTGCTACATAATTTCGTACTTTTTCGTAGTCTTAGTCAAGGTATCAACCTCACAGCAATCGGGTTTTCCCATACTGGCTCGGTTCCTATGCCAGTGAACATCAACTGTAAATGTCCCTTACTGTCACATTTGAAAAACTGGTGAACAGTCAGTCAGTCACAGAACAAACCAGAAACATGCGCACGCAGTAAATGCAAATTCAGTTGCTAGAGGCGCCAAAGCCAACAGTCCTCGCCAGAAAAGCATTTTCACGTTGGTGGAAATAGTAAAACACGATAAATTTGATATACACACGTACTTGGTGTGTGTGCCAGATCCCCTCTGTGGAGAGATACTGGGCCCTGGTGAATCAGACCCAGCTATCTGGATGTACACACAAAAGTCGGACGTGAGAACTGTGTACATCCTTTCTGTTTTACTTACCTTTTTTTTTTTTTTTTGTGGAAGCAGCTTTCATGTAGCGGTTAGTCATTCACCTTCAGATCTGAATATTGTGGGTTCAAATCTGACTTTTTCAAAAATGACCTTGGCTCCCAGATCGACCCAGCCTTACAAGGATACAAGGTAAAGCCACGTAAAGTAAAGGCGACCGGTGTGATATCGATGTTGACCACATCATCCCCCGAGTGCCCAATAGTCTATAAAATAAAGGTCTGGCCCTATATACCCAGTAGGCTCGAAGGCCTGGAAAGAGGAACCTTATACTTTTTATTTCGCTTCTAATTTTTACACCGGTGTTTCCCCATCACCTGATAGTCAGTCTTGTGAACAAATCGAAGGGGTCCAAGATAACCTTTACAAAAACAGAATAAAAAATCCACTTGGAATTAATTTCTCCGATTCTAATATTTATAAATTATAATAAATTGTAATAAATTATAATAAATTCCTCTGCAAGACTTTTCAAAAGTATGGGGTCAGTGGTAGACGCTCGACATGAAAGTAGTCGGCGCGTTTTAGACTCCACCTGAAAGGGACGGCAGGGATATTTATGGGAAGTAAAGGCAAATATCGTTTCATAAATATGGGAACTAATTTCATATACTACAGTGG